CGTCCGTGGGATTTGAACCCTAGACCTGCTACTTGGAGAGGGTGACAACTTGACCACTTCACTAAGCTGCCACACCCCCTATTTATTTTTTTATAAATTTATAATATATATATAATTATATATTGATTTATATTTATATATTATATAGACACTTGTTGCTAAATTTGAATTTTCGGAAGCAATTTTAAATAATGAATCTTCAGATCTTTATTTGCCTGAAAATATATGCAAAATCATTAATAATGATCTGTAGTGGTCACAAGTTCAAGAACTTTCTCAACTTCTCCTTCCATATTGTGTATATCTCAAAAAACTACAATGTGACAAAGCACGATTATATGAAGTTCACTGTATTTCTTATCTTTTAAAGTTATATAAAGATTATTCAAACAAAGATTTTGCTACTTGTATGATTAATCGTTTGGAGCACAGATGGAATTCTTGGGAACAGCCATTACTGCTACTTTCATTTCTTCTTCACTCTAAATATGGCATGTCGATGTTTAATCCCATAAATAAACAGCTTTATTTTCAACTTAGTGATTGGTTAATATATTACTATTGTGCCTGGTTTAATACTGAACCTCTTACTTTATTATCTGAACTTAAGAAATATCAAAAGGGAGAAAAGCTATTTACAGAACGTGTTGCCAACCAGTTTAATAATGATATTATGGGATACTGGGAATACTGTACCACTTCAGCAAAAGAATTAGATAAATTGGCATGTTGTATCTTTGAAATTTGTGTAAATTCTGCCTCTGTTGAAAGGCTCTTTTCATGTATGGGTTGGTTGCATAACAAGTCATGATCTCAATTAAAGGTTTGTTTAAATTTATTAGCTTTTCATTATTAGTATTAATATTTAGATCTATCGCTATTATTTTTCATAAATTTAGCCTCAAAAAGTGTTTCATATAAGCCAGCTTTGTGCTACTATGAATCGAAATAATCGTTTAAAAGAAATTGAATTATTAATGAAACAATACAAACAGAATAATGTTGCATTACCAATAGTCAATGAAAATATTAATAATGTGGCTGTAGTTGATAGCGATTCAGATAATGAAATAGAAGATAATGAACACATTATTAACGTAGAAAATTGGAATGAAATTATACAACGGTGGAATAATATGATCTCTGAAAAAGAGAAAGATGAAATCGATATTGCTTTAGGTAATGATAATTTAGAACAAATTATCAATAATACAGATCACCCGGCAATTAACAATGATTCAAAGTGGAAGCTAAAAACGTTGTTCAATGATGATATTCCTACTCCAGCATTTATTTATGACTTATAATAATCATATAAGTATTATTATAAATGTGGTTTTATAAT